AAGAAAATCCCAGAGAGAAAATAAACTGATATTGTGCAAGTAAATCAAGTTGCTTATCTGATACATAAGCACATTCAGAAGATACTCTGAGATAAATATGGAAATATTAATTTGGTCATTAGAGGAAATATCTGTCCTAACTATTATTTAAATGCTCAGGGCAATTGTTCTGAAACAGGATGCGAGTTCCCAAGCCTGTCTAATTTCATAGCCCATCAATGTTGGTTATCCTAATGTAAATACAAGGCATTGTCTGTGCAGAGTGCTTCATCATGAAAAAAATGACAGGGTCAAATATATCGAATATATAAGTATTGTAATGTATACAATGATATCAGATTACAAAAGAGTTGTACCTCTACAGTTGACATACAATCAGCAGGAAGAAAAAAAAAAGATGATGGTGATGATGATTTTTTAAAAATTTTATTTTTAATTTTAATTTTTTTTAAGGAAACAGGAACATGCTATTTTGCTAGAGTCAGATGACTCACAAATTCTGCAGAAGGCAGAGTTTAATGTAGGCAAAGTCTGCCCTCTTAACAACCATGACGGTTGCTAAAATAGAGCTGTGGAGTGATATTGTAATAGCATGAATTTATTTTAGGTTGTGTAGATCATTAAATAATTAAACTATGGCATTATTCTTTACAGTGTCTTTAGTATAATTTTACTCATATTCTTTTAAATAGTCTATTATAATTTAGGTATACAAGACTTCTAACTATTCCATTGACCCAGGAAAACTAGGGGAAAAAGGTGAATCCAGCTAGGGATCTGTTGGAATTATATCTGGAATTACAGTCTCTCTGGGGAAGACACTGCATTTCTGACATGATCACTTGGTAACAGCAGCTGGTTTATGAGGGCAGGCTGGGCAATGTTGTGCCATGGTGTGTCAGGTCTGTTGTTGTGAGGGGACACGGCAGCCAGTGTTCTCTTCCCTGTGCCCAGAGCATTGCTGATGCCTTTCAGCTTGCAGACATATGATGGCTCTGCCAAGTCAACACTGATGCTGCACAAGGACCTTCAATTTCTGGACTGTCCCCAGTACACGATCCTGTGTGCTGACAGCCATCATTCCTCTTGAAAAATAGATGTTTATTGTGGCTGGTGAGGAGTAGAGCCTTATTTCTTCTTCTGTTTAACATTTTCAGTGATCCCAAAAAAGCCAGGTTTTCAGCTTGGCCCTCAGAAACCTCAGTGATCTTACCCAGCATATCTCCATATCTTCATTAAAGTGATACTTGATGTAAATGCAAAGAAAAATATATAGACTCATGGAAGAAATACCATTTTTGGTGTATAGAAACAAGAAACAAATATTGACTTGCCAAGTTCAGTGGCTGTTGTAAAACACAAGTGCCACACAAGGAGGTTTACCAGTAGGTGGTGACATATAATTATTTATCAGCTATTTTTTGGCTGCAAAGGTTCTGAGCTACAAGCAGCTTCACTGTGCAACTTCTTGTTTAAGCTTTCCTTTTGTATTGCTCCACCTTTCTGAGATCTCTTTTACAAGTTTCACAGCTGTAGATGTGTTTCCTAGCTGCAATTGCATCTTCTGACTGTAGCATGTTAGCCTGCTCATGTTCTGTGAACTGCAGGGCTGCCTTCCCACTGCTGGGCAAAATGCTTGGTTTGTGTGGTTTCAGGGATTTTTGTCTATTGATGGAAGAAAATAAACCAGTTCTCACAACACGTGCACGGGGAAAAAAAGTCAATCCTTTCTTTGTAGAGTGTATCTCTTTTTTACTTCCCATGAATAAACAAGTTATAGAGTTGGCTGTGTGGAAATTTGTGTGGAAATCTGCTATTTATTGCCAAATGTAATCAGCAGCCTCTTCTAAGTCCAGCACACCCTTCTGCACATTGGTGCTCCCAGATTATGAAGCCATTAGTAACCCTGGAAAAACATTATTCCCCTCAGCTTGGTCTATCTATTATTTTCTACTCATTTAAATACCATGTGTAGGTTGTGACTAATGAAAGCCATGTAGCTACAGCATATGAGATGAAGTTCAGGTTTAGATAGTGAGCAGTTTTGGAGCAGCAGGAGGAAACAAGCCTAAAGGCTTCTCTTAGGCTTCAGGAATCACCACAGAAGTGAGCTGTTTTATTGGAAGGGTACTGGCTCCATGGAGACCACAGCTCAACTTTGCCAGCTGGAGCAGCGGTGATAGATAAGAGCGCTCCTGGCAGCCTCTGCCCACAGCCAGTGGGTGTATCTGGGTGAAAAGTGCCCTCTGGGGGAAAGTGGTGCAATCTAACCATGCAGCAGTCTCACCACAGTTCCTGGCCCTGAAGACACGAGCAGACCTTGTGCAGACACGGCTGCCCTCGGAGCCCGTGCGGGCAGCCAGGCTGGGCTGGAAGCGGCTGCTAAATGCGCGGTACTGGGTGGAATGTCAGCATGCCTGCATCCACGTGCTCTTGAGCTGCTCTTTCTGAACTGGTTCTAGCTCAGTGTTCATTAGGGCTTGACCAGAAGGTCCTATGACAGTTCTTAAAAGGTTTTGCATTTTCTAACTACTATTTGGTACCTTGCTGAGTTTTTGATGAACACCCATGCTCAAACCTGCAGTGACAAAGGCTTATACATTCAAACATATGCAGTGCTTTATTCCTGATGCTGTCACTGGCCTGAGTTGAGTCTTGAGCCCAAGTTGTGGCAGTTTTTCACATTAATATTATTCTTACCATTTACACAAGGAGTTTTCTTCACCGAGCCAGGTCAGTATATTTTTTCTGACTGCACCCATAACTCTTGTGGGTTATCCCCTTGGGGTGGGGAAAGGCAGTCAAGCTCATACACAACACACAAAGGGTTGCAGAAAATGTACTCTCTGTCAATCAGTAGGACCACATGGTGCCTTTAATCCCTGCTGTACAGACTGGCAACTGCCTGAGCTTTGTCGGTGGGAAATAGTGTATTTGTCTGAAGAACACCAAAATACCACACCCAGAACATCAGGGCACTCCACGGTGCTGCTGAAAAATCAGGAAAGCCTAATGCCCACTAATATTAATGGAAGGAGATTCACACTTTTCATCTGCTAAATTTGGTGGAGTATCTGGGGCAGACAAGACTCCTGCTTGCCTTTTATCACAAGGACATAAGTCACAGCCTGCAGCCTGTTGTAGTACAGGCTGGCTTTGGGACTGTAGATTGGCCTATATAAGACTTTCCTGAGAGAAAAAGCAATTATTTCAGCTAGGTTGCCAAGCAGCTCCTGTGCTCTGCCTACACCTGGTTATACTTTTAGAACTATTATATATATACAAAGCAGAAAGTGAAAGAAGGTGGGCAGCTTTAGAGAAGTTACTGCTGCTGTTTGCTGGCATCAGGATGCCATTTATAAATGATGCTGTCATCACTTTGCAGCACAACAACCCAAAGCACAGAGGGAAGAGGCAACTGTGATGCAGCTCTACCTAGTGCAACACAAGATATGATGAGGGGACACAGGCAACTGTTGCTGGTTAAATGTTATTCCTGGTTGTTGGACACAAAACTGACAGTAACTTCTGACTTTTTCAGTGTTGTTTCAACCACACATCCAAAGAGAATTAGACACCAATATAATAAAATTATTATTATTTTTAGGATGAAGAAGTCACAGGATGAAATCAAAGATGATGCCCAGAACTGAATTTTTCAATCAAGCAAACAGGCAGGAAATGGAAAAGCAAGGTTTTTATAAAGCAATTATATAATATCAAGCTAAATTCAGCTGGTGAAGAAGAACTTTTTATGGGAAAATAAATTAAGCACCTGTGCTTAAATGAAAATTGGATAGAGGACTGGAGCTGACATGCAAAAGGAGTGATTTTTAGATTGAGCCTTGATGCTGCAAATAAGGTTAATTTCTTCAGTATAGTAATTTAAAATTTGACTCAAATGTAATAACATGTGCACAGTTATCCCATGCCTCACTGCCTGCCATTGTTTGAAGCCAGGACAATAGTTCCACCTGCCAGATTTGAGTGTCAATGCCTTCACTGTAGTGTTCAATTGCAACAGCAAGATGTCCACATCTTTACTGTTTTATCACATAACTGTAGGGACACCAACAAAAATTTGTACAAAAGTAAGTCTGAAAAACCCTTCAGTTTCTCTCTTAGAAACATATTAGCCTTGGATGACTAATGGAACATCACTGTACCTGAGCTGCCTCCTTGATGGCTTGATGCCAGTTCTAGGAGCAAGCCAAAATTTGAATTCTCAGAAGTCAACAACAGAAAGAAGAAAATATTTAGTGGGAAAATAAAAGGTGGTCCAAGGACAATGAAAAAAAAACTGAAACCAGTGCGGTTGTCTAGATCTACTTTCCTTTTCTTCTTTGATTCGCTCTATGAGTCTGTGAAAGACCATTTTTACCCTTTCTTCCAGACAAATGTCGTTAGAGGAAGTAAGTCCACCTCCGCAGCCATCCCTTTGCCCAGCAGCTGAACCCCGCCGCTCCCTCTTGCAGTGGCACTCCAGAGCCAGGGCAGCCCACAAGGAGCAGGGAGGGGGAACAGGCTGGCAGCTGAAGGGCAGCACGGGCTGCAGCCACCAGCTAGCACAGTCTGAATCTCCTGGACACCGGTCAGTAACCATTTCATATATTGCTAAACTTGAACTATAAACTGCAATTGGTAAATCTGCAGGATTCATCAAAATACACCTGGCTAACCTTGAAATTATCAACTATTACAGCTGTTTGGTTACTTTGGAACTGCTTCTGCTACGTGACATTAGCTCAAGGCCAGATCTGCAACTGTCTGCATCAATCTGGCAAAGCTTTCTGCAGAAAGGTGACAGAGAAGAGAGGGAACAAGCTCTCTCCAGAAATGGTTAATCAATAGCTTGCTAGGTTGACTCAGTGCCATTAGATACAGTAGTGTACCCATTGTATATAAATTGTGACCTGTCTTCTGTTTCATTCTCAGTCACCTCTCCTGCCATCCTGATAGTTACCCATTTTCCACTTGGAAGCTTTTGGGCATTACCAGAAATGTTCCTGGCATCCTGGATCTGGGGAACGGCAGTAATACTTTGTTGTGTGTCTTGGTTTCTTCTAGGGAGGAGGAGAAGGTAAGGACTCTTTCTGTAAAAGCATTTCAGTGTGTGTGGCCTTTATTTGTGTCAAATATCCTGTGCACATCACTAAGAGAACTGTGGTCAGACATATGCAGGACAGCATAGACAATGCTGTAGTTTGGTCTTTTGAGAGATTTTTGCCCCAATCAAATTTTTGTGTATGAACTCTGCAATAATAGTGTATTGATGCCTAGAGGTAGCTGTAGATACAAATCTATGCATCAGTAAGGTAATTAAAATATGAATATGTATGTCCTGATTTCCTAATGTTCTGGGCTGTAATTTCACCTGTATTGTAATCACAGAGAATACCTACTTATATGTAATTATTGTTTAATATCTACTTACAAAGATTTTTATATCTAGTAACACAATTTAATACAGGTAATATTTATGTATGAGGTATGTTCCTTAAAAGCATTTATCCTACTGACACATTTATATAAGGAGTGAGTAATTTGCTTAACTCTTCTTATTTTTTAATTTCCACAGTCATTTTCTAGTTTTATTTTAAAAAGTTTAATTAAAAAAAAAGGTGAAAATAATTAACTTCATTTACTGCAAAAGCTGAAGTATTATATGAAAGTTATTTCAGCAGTCATAATGTCTTTATGCAGGAAAGCTGTTTCTACTTAAAAAAGAAAATAATTTAAACATATGCTTCACTTTAAGTATCTTAGCTTAATTTACAGCATGTGCTTGATGACACATTGTCTGAAACACTAGCTCTTATGCTTACTGAGGATCATAGCAAAATTCCCATGTTTTTAGAAAGATCTGTTCTATTAATGGGATATGCCAATAATAACAACCTTTCTATGCTAAAAAGTGTCTTTGCTTGGTATTCAAATTAACTTGTGGAAAAAATTGTCCAAAAATGTATGAGATAATATTAGTGTGATGGATTATTTATTAATGTGACAATTTCATAACTGTGTTTTAGCTAATGGCAATAATTTTACATTTGATGAAAAATATACATATGAAAAATACACATCTGATCCAGGGAAAAGGAATATTACATAATCAACCTGGTTTATTATGTGTATTATTATGTCTATCAATAGTTAAAGTTGTTCTTTCTTACATAGCTTAGCTCTTAAAGGGGAGAAAAATATCTGTAAATAAACTACTTATTTGGGATTTTTTTCTTCTTTTTTTTTTTCACATTACACAAAGCCTAACATCAGTTTTTTACATACCTGATAGTCCTGGAGAAGAGATCTTTATACATAATTTTAAATGGAGCTTTTGTTTGTGTTTTGTAGGCGGCAAGGTGAGCCACCACTTGAGAATGGGTTCCTTCCATACCTGGGCTGTGCCTTGAAGTTTGGTGCCAACCCCCTTGAATTCCTCAAAGAAAAGCAGAAGAAGCACGGCCACATCTTCACTTGCCATGTAGCAGGGAAATACATTCATTTCCTCACTGACCCTTTTTCATACCATGCATTGATGCGCCAGGGAAAACACTTGGACTGGAAAAAGTTCCACTTTGCTACTTCTGCCAAGGTATTCCTGGTTTTACTATGTAACATGCAAAGTATCTGCTGACATACTCAGTTAATCCCTGTAAACATAACTATGCCTTTGGATAGTTATGGATTGGTTTCACATTTCTGCACTTTTACTGGTTTAAAATATGGAGGTCTTTTTTTTCCTCTTCCTAAATGAAAAGAAATTTGCAGTGATTTGGATTGTTCTAAGACTATACATTATTCTAAGACTGTACATTATTTTATTACATTGTTATCCTTCCCTCTAGTAAGCTATGAAGTTATACTTTGTCTTTTGTTTCTGTTAGACTTTATCATCCAGGTAATGACAGGCCTTACTTATCATGCATACAATTTATTTTGTGACAGGCTTTTGGGCATGGTAGCATTGACCCAGCGGAGGGAAACACCACTGAAAATTTTCATCAGACTTTCATTAGAACCCTTCAAGGCAATGCCCTAGATGCCCTCATTGAAGCAATGATGGAAAACCTCCAGTATGTCATGCTGCAGTCAAGAGCACCTAAGCTTCAGTCCAATACCTGGGTGACAGAAGGACTTTATACCTTCTGTTGCCAAGTGATGTTCGAGTCTGGCTTTTTAACACTTTTTGGTAAAGAATTTAATTCAAATAATGACAAAAACCTATCATCAAAGCAGGAAACTGAGAGAGCTCATATCCTAAATGCCCTTGAAAACTTCAAGGAATTCGATAAGATTTTCCCAGCCCTCGTGGCGGGGCTGCCTATCCACCTGTTCAAGAGTGCCCACAGTGCACGTGAGAAGCTGGGAGAGGCCCTCCTGCACAAGAACCTCCTGAAAAGGGACAACCTCTCTGAGCTTGTCACCCTGCGCATGTTCCTGAACGACACCCTGTCAACCTTCGATGACATGGAGAAGGCCAAGACCCACGTGGCAGTGCTCTGGGCCTCTCAAGCAAACACCATTCCTGCCACCTTTTGGACCTTGTTCTATCTTCTTAAGTAAGTCCCAATACTTGTTGCTCCCAAACAAGAAAAATATTTATCTTTCAGGAACCGATTCATTAGTACAGGCCAATTCCACTCCTCGATACCTCATCAGTGATAAAACACACTGTTTGCAACAAAGTGCTGTGTTGTTCAGGACTTCCACAGAAAAGCCCTTCACCCATCTGAGAACAAGTGTGGTAGCACAGAGCAATTCTTTAGAAGCTTTTTTTTTGTTAAGAAACAGCACTCCAGGGCAATGCTACACTTTGTCAAGAAAGCTTTGGAGTAAATCTCTATGATATGACATTAAAAGTGCTAGTTGCAGTCAAAACATTAATTGTATTAAAGGCTACAAATATAACTAGACATTTTTAGACCATCTCACTAGTGCAGGCAAAATGAGGTTTATTATTGTTTTCACAGATACTTAATAGAAAATAATTTATATTAAATTATAGATCCCACTGAAGCTCTACTGTAGATTGCACCTGCTGAGCTTGCTGCTTGTGAGAGAAGTGCACAGCTCAGATAATGCTATCAAACGTCCATTTTAGAGTAGGCCCTTTCTGGATTATCTGCTTCAGCATAACTAACTCTAAAGTATGTGTATAAATTCCTAACACTTTTAACTTATCATATCTACTTGCCAATGCTATTTTTTGAAGTTATTTAGTATTTTTTGCTCCAAGAATGCATTTGCTTTAGATTTCCTGGACTTGGAGTCTTTTAACACCCTGATTGTGTCTTCGTCAAGACACAATTGCACCCTCTTTTATTGTGGTTATCTATTTCACCAAAGCTCATATATTCCATGTCTGAAAGAAAGGCTAGATGGTGAAGGATACTATGTGGGCTCTTAGTATTAGGAAGATTCTTTTCAGCTAGACACAATATTGTCACATCAGCCAGAATAAATGATGTTATAAAACTGATCTATAATCCTGTTCCTAAACTTTCTACCTGCAGTGGGGCTATTTCCTAGTCTACAACTGGCTGGTTTCTTTCTTATTTTTGGCATTGCTTTTTAGTGCTGGTACTGTTTGTTACCTGAATTACACACATCAGTTCTGTCCCACTTGTCATTGCAGACAAAATCAAATACTTGGGATTCCTTTATTTTTCTTTTTTTTTTCCTTTGAAGCTCTCATACCTTTTCCAAGACAGGAAAAAATGGAACTACAGCATTTTGCTGCAACATTTTTATTTTAGAAGGTTGTACTTGTCGGTCAACAAAATAAATTTTGGTCAGAAAGAAAGTTAATAGCAAAACCACTTCTTAAAGAATTTTTAAATTTATGTTATACCTTTTCTCTTTTGATCTTAGGAGTCCAGAAGCAATGAGAGCAGCTACCAAAGAAGTGCAAAGTGTTTTGGAAAGTGCTGAAGAGAGTATCAGCTTAGATGGCAAACATATTTCCTTGAACCGGAAACAGCTGGATAATATGCCAATTCTAGGTATGACTATTTTATGCAGGATTATTTTATGCAGAAATCACACTACAATTTCCATGGTCTTCTGTTTATTACCATATAAATGCTTGCTATAGAATTCCTATGGAATTAACAAAGAAACAGTAGAACAGGAAACTATATGTTCCTCAGCAGTAGCCAACACAACCAGGCTTCCCAATGTCCCAGGTGGTGAGACTATCAAAATTCACATGAACAGCATTTTTTCATGGGTAATGGCATATCTCAATAATCCTACACTGCTACATAAAATAGACACATGGATAATTCTGAACAATATTTTGTTTGATTATGTCTTTAAATCAAATAAAAAGGTGTTGCCAAAACTTAAATCCCTATTCTTATTATGTGAAGCAATGATAAGAATACCATTACTTCTATTTCCTCTCAATATTTTTCAAATTATAATTTTTCAGAACTTACAGAGAGTTGTTATAATGCTGCTTTTTAACTACTGTTACTTAAAAAAAAGTCAGCTAATATTGAAACAAAAACTTCCCATATTACTTTTTTTTTCTGAGTATGGGTTTCTACACAGGACCTCTTAAAGCTTTAGAAAATTCCGCTCACTGTACTGTTTCTTTTTCTTGTTATATTTTCAGTTTTCACTGGTTTGGTCTTTATATCAGAGTGAAAATATGTCTCACTTTTGAACATTCTGTTTTGTCCACTATAAGCATTCTCTTATAGTGGGGGAAGCAGATTAGGCTCTCTGTGGCATCTGCAGAAGTGATAGAAATGCTGAAAAGAAATTATAAAGATACTTTTTTAGGCATTTAGAAAGTTAATATTAAAATATTTCTTCTAATAAATTCAGGGTTTGATAATGACTCTGAAATAGTTCAAAATCCATGACCTGCCCCCAGTATGTGAATACACTGTTTCCATTGCAATCATTCCTTGTCCTCTCCCAACAGACAGCATCATCAAGGAGGCAATGAGGCTCTCCAGTGCATCCATGACTTTCCGAGTGGCCAAAGAGGATTTCACTTTGCACTTTGAGAACGACTTTTACAACATTCGCAAAGATGACATTGTAGCCCTTTATCCTCAGCTGCTGCATTTCGATCCAGAAATCTATGCTGATCCCTTGGTAAGCATTTTTTTTGCAAATTGCATTAAACTTGGTGCTCTGGCAGAAGCTAACAGGCCTTTGGATAAAGCACTTATTGAGGTGCCCCATGGCTGGTTCTCTGCTGTACCCCAGACAATCCATTCTTACACCTGAAGATGTGATAACAGGAAACAATAAATAAATAAATAAATAAATAAATAAATAAATAAATAAATAAAGCATTATCTGCAAAACATGTTTAAGTGTAACCAAAAGGTGTGCTATCAGCCTCAGACAGCCCTTTACTTACTGTCTTCCTCAGTGAGGGAAGATCACCATGATGAGGGTCTTTGAAGAAGGATAAGGATAATAGTTTTCCAAAGGCAGAGAATTAGAATTCTTCAGTTCTCCTTTCTCCTTCTGCCACTTGAACAAGAATGCATGTTACAATCCTTATTTTTAGAGGTCAGGAAAGAAAAGGGGAGTTATCAGCAAAGAACCTGGGATCCTGTCCCACATAACGGAACTTCTCAGAGTCCATTCTTTCTAAGACAGCCCCATGGGGGATGGTGGTACTGTACAATGCTTATTGCTGGAGACATCCCTTTCCCAGCCTGCATTTTGTCTCTTAGCAGCTTTATCTGGCTTTTGGAGGTATCCACATACCAAGGAACCCTTTTGTGTGTTTAATTGCAGACATTCAAATACGATCGCTTCCTGAACGAGAAGGGAGAGGAGAAGACCGACTTCTACCGGAACGGCCGGAAGCTGAAGCACTACTACATGCCTTTTGGGACAGGCATAGCAAAGTGCCCGGGCAGGCTGTTTGCTGTCCATGAGATCAAACAATTTTTGGCTCTGATTTTTTCATACTTTGAGATAGAGCTTGTGGACAGTAATGTGAAGTGTCCCTCTCTAGATCAATCCCGTGCAGGACTGGGTATTTTGCAGCCATCCAATGACATTGATTTCAGGTACAGGCTGAAATGCTTATGAATATGTGTTTTGTATTATGCATATACACTATGTACTAGTAGTACATAAATACACTGTATATACTAACAGTACTAAATACACTGTATAACATATGCTTTATATACATTTTATGTATATATGCAAATGAAATGCTTCAAGTCTTGGGTGAAAAGCTATGTGAAGATGCTAATTCACCATTTTAATGAAAAATGGGCACCAGTGTGCTACCACCTACAGTGGGTTTAATGCTCTATTTTGATGCAAATGTCTCCCTTTTTACCAACCATTTTGAAAGGCAAGTTAAGATTTTCCATTGTGTGTGTCCAGCAGCCAGGTTTTTTTTCTGTCAGCAAATACTTTCCCACAGGTAGAATTTCATGAGCTAATTCATAATAATTTCAAGATTGTACTACAGTTAAAATATAATCTTTTCTATAATTGAAATGTTGGGTGGGGGGCTAGGCCTCCTCACAGGTGAAATAAAGTTTTTGTTGTATAAAGGCATATTCACAGTGGGGAGGGGAGAGTTTCCTGGGGAATTACATTTATGGTTTTATGAAAAACTGGAAGAAGACTTGAAAAAAACCTACAGAAATATTCACGTTCAAGTGAAACCTCAAAACTTGTATTATAATCTTTGTAAGATACTTATTTTTAGAAAGTGCTAACTGTGTTAAAATAAATTATATTGGCTGAACCAAATGCATCTCTAGACTGTTTGTTGTTTTAACATCTTAACATTAGGGTTTATGCACTCATCCAAAGCCACCCAAACCAGTTTTAAACTAGCCAACTCAAATACCAATATGGAGATAAATAAATAAATATCTACCATATATTCACCAGTGGTTCTGGCTGCATTTAGCCTCATTGCCTAAACTCCATATTTCCATAAGCCTCTTTAGGTCTTCCTAGTCTAATTCCATTAAAGTTACCATAGGTAGTAGTATGCCCACACATTTTATTTTCAGTGGTGGCATGTCCATAAGAACAATAGTTTCAGGGTTAATATAATTTAGTCCTCTCTAACATCCCTGTGCTTTTCTGCTGCAAGTGGTAGATGTATGTACATATGTCACAAAAGTCCATTTTTTAATGAAATTTGTTTGGTCTGAAAGAGATGGCTTTCTTATCATTTGCTGATGAAAAGATCAAATGGACTTAAAATATTGTTTTTGTCCTGCTTTTTTCCAAGAACTTAGGTCTGACCTTTTGTCCTTAACTCAAAAGATGAGATACAGGACTACTTGATATTTTCAGATTTCACATTCTGGCATGGTATCCAGCTTAGATGATAGAACTCTTCCTTTATAAGGATTTTTTGATTGAGTTCTACAATTACTTTGAATTTTCTATTCTTTTTTCCTCTCACTATCCACTGTGCTAAATATTCAAAGGTTAATAAAAAGATTATGCAGCATGTGCATAATACTTTATTTTGTGTGCAACACACATTCATTATCTGTGTGTTGTCTTTGTAATTTTATTTAATCTTTTTGCATTTTCAAAGGAGAACAGAGAACACCAATTTCTTGCACCATGTATAATATTAAACAATTATGTATAATGCAAAGGGGTTGAATTATTACTTTGGTTCTCTTGGTAAGGGTAGTATCCAGTACAGCTTGTTTCCAGACTTCTGCCAATTATATTTTGTATGATTCATATAAATTATAACATATTCAATGTAAGCTAATTTGGAGAGTTAATGCAAGCCTGACATGTGCCCTGGTACTTGTTTTTATCATTAGAGTATCTGCTCCTTCTTTCTTAAATAAATCCTGCTTGAAACAGCAATTTTTGAGGGCAGCAAGGCTATGCAATCTTTTAAGAAAAATACACTTCCTTGAAGAAAAGGAATTTAACATGGAAAACAACAACAGAAAAGAGGTAAGAAAACTGCTAAGCTAATTCTAGATTGCTTCAAAAATTATGCCTCTTTTACATCCCATTGTCTGCTTCAAACCAACTGCTCCAGACTTTTCTGGCTGTGGTTTAAGGGGTTCTTGTGAGTTCCTTTGGTCAATGAGAAATTGAAGTATTCAGTAGCTCCTCAAGCTGATCTTTCAGCTTCCCAAGAGTGGGAGAGTAATGGAAGATTGGTGAGGAAGATTGTGAACCTGGTCAAATGGCTTGTAAGCTGAGGTGTCAAAAACCATGTACATCATACCAGTTATTGTTTAGCCTCCTGTGCTGGACAACACCTGTGTTCAGATAACATGGTCCTGAGATAGATTTAGAGGTATCCTGTTGAGCATGGGTGAGATTCCTGTCCTGATGTGAGAACAATCAAGCAGTAGTAAACTACACCTGCATGAATCCCTGATATAGAGGGAAAAAGAGAAGGTTTGGTGATCCCCTAACACTCAGAGAGCTCCATGGTGCCTGCATCCCTGCCTGTGTGCCTCTGCCTGGATGCTGCTTTGGGAATCCCCCCACTGGCATCACTATTTAAACCCAGACAACAACCAAGCACCAAACAGCCAGTCACTCACTCCCCCAGCATTAGGATCAGGGAGAGAATCAGAAGGGTAAAAGCAAGAAAACTTGTGCTTTGGTTTCAACAAAACCAAATTTTCTCTCCATTTCATGCATGTTGTTTTGGTTGCTCCTGTGTCCTGCCTGAGCTGGCTCACACACCAAGGAATACTAACAATAGAGAACTCAGGGGAAGGTAAAAATATCAGAGGATCAACCCACAGATTAAAGTCCAGTTCTGAACACTGTGGAGAAAATAATGACTAAAGTGCAGAACCACAAAGTGGTGGAAATCAGCACTGTCACCAGACAGGGCCCTGCAAGGGTGGCTCAGGAGCTCCTGCCCAAACTCCTGTGGCACCATGGTCCTCACCACTCAGCCTGGGCCACTCCTCTCTTGCTGGGATAGCAGCTCTCCATGGATGGCTGGACCACATAACCTATAGATTGATGTGCACTGTGTATAGAACAGGGTCAACCAGCCCTTTCTGCTCAGCTCAGGACTCCTGTAGCCTGAGGATGATAAAACATGTCTGCAGGGGACTCTTCTTTTTTATATTGACCTCGTGTTATGCAGATGAAAAGTCCCAGTATAAGCCCCTAAGTATGCTTCCACTTTGTGACAAAAGACACACAGATGAACTGTTTGAATAGCTTGGATATGGATTTCCTTTTTTTTTTTTTTCCTTAATATATATTGGGCTATATACAAGTATTTCTATTTACTGCTGTAGCTGCTAATTTTCTAACCTCAGTTAAACCCCTGTTAAGGGGGTTGCACAGATGCAAGTGAGGGGAGAAAAGAAAGTACAAGGTCTGTGGCACTATGCCTCAGCTAATGTAATCAAATACTTCAGCAATCAATACTCATCTGCCCTGCCAGGGTCACAAACACCACAAGGTTATACCAGGGCAATTCTTTCTGCTGCCTCTCCTAAAAGCAGGACTTGTATTAAGACAGGAAAACAAAGAAAAATAATACTAAAACCATAGGAGCAATTAGAAATATTTTGGACAGATCCAGGCTGGTAACAAGCAGGCAGCCTCTGCTGTGGGCTGTGTATTTCACATTATATACTTACTATTTAAAATGCATGAAGAGGTAGGGGCAGAAGAGGAGCCACAACCTCAGCCTCCAGGTGGGCACCCTAACCATTAGGATAGCTCAGGCATTTTCTCAGGGAATTTGTAGCGTGTTTTCTCAAAAAAAAAAAAAGTAACAGACTCAACAGGATGATTTGCATGACTTCCTGACAGTGCCCTTAGAGCCAAGTGCTCTCTTAGTTGAGAGAAGATTCAATTTCAGTTTGGGATTGCAGTCCCTGAGGAAGTTAGTGAGTTCAGTCTCTCTCACACCCCCAGGCGACAACTCTATGCTTGTGGTTGTCCTGTATAGGGTGAGTAAGAGTGAGGGATAACTCTTGAGGAACACATAAGTGTAACATAGATTAGGCACACCAGGGAGATTAAATGTTCAGATTTTTTTGGACCCAGATGAGCTGGACATTGGGTGGTCAGATGCCTCTGAACAGTGATTTGGGGATTAGGAGCAAGGCACAAGTTGGCTGAGAGAGACCACATGGCTCATAAGCCAGCAGAAGGAGCATTTTGGGTGAGCAGATTGAACCTAGGCAGTGAAAATGTTCTAGAGTTTTTTCAGGCTAAAAGAAATCTTTACTGATCATGGAGATCTTGGAAGTGACATGGTGACTACTAATGAAACATGACACCATGTCAGAAAACAAGACAGTTTTACAGTTCTGAAACCATGCTGGCCACAGCTGTTGTAACAGAGCTGAGTTCAGGCAGCCACTCTTCAACATGTCAACAGTGGTTTTGAGCATAGATTTTTCAAGCCTTCTTCAATTTTTTTTTTAAGCTTACTGGAGGAATATCAGGATAAACTGGTACTTCTGTTATGAGACCTCTTATGCAAGTTTCTGATGAAATAAAAGAGGAAGCAAAAAGAGGAAAAATCATGGGATAATTTTTCTGAAGTCATGAAATACATTTTAGAGATAACTATTGCTTAGCTGATGATAGCATGCTTCAATTTGTTCATGGTCTTGGTCTAAACAGAGAACTGTGGCACCATAAATAGGTATTTGCCATTTATGAACTGTGTGACTGCCTGTTGACTTTCAGAGTGCTCTATCTGAAAGTCAACAGGCTGAAGATTGGACCATGATCTTCTGATGCTCCTGCTCATTGTAGGGAATTAGACTAGATGACCTTCCCACCCAAATTATTCTATGATTCTATGGTTCTATTATCTCCTCTCATTTACACCACCAGCTCCACACAGTTAAAGAACAGGCAGACGAGGCTTGATCATACTCATGTTTTGCTGCATACAGGGGTTTTGGTGGTAAAGGCAGTGATTGCCTCCTAATAACCTTAGAATTAAATAACAAAAAGGTTACATACTATTAACAGGAGTGCTATCAGTGTAAATACCCACCTTGCTAACTCTTGTTTACTTTAATTTGTTTTCTGCCAAGACAGACAACTCTGTGGGAGACACATTTCAAATCAAATGATCT